TATGTCTCCCTACTGAAACAACAGCTCCATGAAAGCCCGGATGTTGTCTTGCTCAATCCTACAGTCTCCATGCTTATGAAGATGGGCAAAACACAGGTGCTCAACAAAGAAAACTCTCAGCTCTTGCTCTTAACACGCAAAGGGTGTTCAATCATGCCAACTTCCGTTTTCCCTCCCTCCTACTTTCTCCGGCGTGGCTGAGAAAATGTAAAATGCCATCAGAATGACATCTCCGATTCCGCTCAGCCCCCTCGCAGCACCGCTGATCCTTCTTGTGTGTGAACCCCTCCGTAATGTGACTGTGACACCCTCATCTCTGACCAGAGACAGATGGGGAATGAGTTAGAGGCCAGAATGGAAACCTGGCCTGCTATTAATATCCCAACTAAGTGGAATATTAATTTCAAAACTTTGTTTTATCTAAATGATTTTGGATTTTCAGATCATCAGATGCCTCCATAATCAAAACAAATCCTTTCTATAATAAAATATAAATAGTTCCCAGAGGGTCGCCTACTTGGGATTAGCTGCCTTACACTGCACTGCCATGCATTTTTCAAAGTTGGCTGACAATGCAAACTTAGGGACAGGTCTAAAGCAAAATTAACAGTTCGCTTTTCCCCTGGCTACACACCCTGCACCACACAGATAGCAAAGCGCCCAGTACAGTACTCTTTCCAGCTGATCCACAGGGATGGTTTTCACTCCTGATGCCAGACTGCAGGGCAATATGCTTGGAACTGTGGAGATATGGCTGAGTGGGAAGTTTTGTGTGATTTTTTGTGCAAATAAAATCTTTTATCCAAAATTAAAAATAAACCTCCAAAGGCAATGGTCTCCAAATTGCTTGGAGAGATTTGTTAATACAGTAGAGAAAAGACAACCCCATGCGTCAAACAGGATGACTTTAGGATACATGCGAGGTTTAGTTCTAGTGGTTTCCATTTTCATATTCCCTGCATTTATTTTTTCTGGTTTGCAAAACATCATAGGTTTTTGTATGGAGTGGGTAAAATACAGAGCAGACATTAACTCTCTTAAGATTAAACTTGTGGGGTTTTCTGTGTACCAGTTTGTGGTCAGAAACTGGGACTCAACTAAGAGAAAATGGTTTAAAAATAAATAAGCTTTGCGTTAGGGAAGGAGGGATTTACTCACACTTTGGAAATCAAAGGAAAGCACTACAACTGGTAAGCACCCAGAAGGCACCATTTATTCTGTGCTGTCTCCTCACTACAAGAGGACACGGATTGCATTTTCAGTGCAGTAAACAAGAGATTATGGGAATTTGTGCAGTTTGCACCTATAACAACATTATAACATTTAAAAATTTTACAAACTTCAGGACCTGGTCTAGGCAGTCAGTCATATACACCTTCACCTATACACCCAGCCATTCACATACAATGTGTTTGTCCAAACACTTGATAGTAAATGGCATGTACTATTATATTACACTCCAGAGTTTTACCATTGAGTCATGTTTCACAGCCAATGCAGAGAGCTGAGAACAATCAAAAATACCGGCATTGCAAGCAGCAGCAAGAGCATATGTGTGCATAAATAATGTATTATATCACATGGTAAGCAGCCATCTAAAAGTTCATCAAAAGAATGTTCTTATGATTTAAACATGGAGCATTTGACTGACATTTGAGAATTCTATTTGAAACACATGTTTTCAGTGCTATACCCATATGTTTGGGGCACCCACCTTCACACACCCAAAAATTCTACTGCAAAAACCTACGGCTTCCTGCTGGGAAAGCATTTTTTTCCTTCTGGCTACAGAAAGAGCACCCTTGGCCTGCACTGACGGTGAGTCAAAGTGCTGAAGAGCTCACGTACCCTGAAGCACCTCTCAGTCCATAGTGAGCAGGGACACAACCTCTACATACACTAGCTCCCTCATGGCTTGGTTGGGATCAAGTAGAATAATGGTCTTCCAGAGTTCCCTGTCAGAGTTGGGCTTCAGCTTCCATGGTAATAACCAACTTTACGACAGATCATTTTCAGCTTTATTTCTTTCCCAATCTCATTTCCCAGTTCCCTACTGGTGTTTCCTAGGATCATCCCTCACCTAAACTAGTTGGATTCTAAGCTTTGTATCAGGGTCTGCTTCTGCATTAACCCAAAATAAGACCCCATCTTCAGTCCTTTAACCTTTTACATTAAGATGAGCCATAATTTATATTAAATATGCCAGGGAAAATATCCTTTGTTGTGGATTTCACAGAAATTGATTCTCATCAAATATCAAGTTCAGAAAAAACCATAATTATTCATGTGAGGATGCTTTCCCAGTAGTATAAACACATATGATGGTGGGATAATTCTTCAACCCTATGGAAAAATCTTACTATAGAAAAACTATTTGAGTAGATGTAAGAGGAAATAGAAGAGGAGTTGTCTATCATATTTTTATTTTTGTTTGATTTTACTTTTCACCATATATTTTCCAAATATATATGAATCTTAAATGTGTCTCTGGATTTCATTTTTCTATGCAAAAATCTATTTACTATTTTCTTCCACAGATGTAATCAATATATCAAAATGAATATTTACTCAGAATTTATATGCACTCTGCATAACTTTAAAGCCTATGCTACAGTCCCCATAACTTGTCTCTCTATTGCAAAGATAATGCTTTCAACATATAGAAAAATGTGAGAGCAAGGCAGAAGTATAACTGTTTAAGTGAGAAATTTTATAGTAATCCAAAAAATTGTATATAAAAAAGAACTAAATGCCAAATGCTATATTGAAGCAGTAGTTCATATAGAAGAAAGATGGAAATAAAAAGGTAGCTAGAGCTATCTGAATTTCAGGGTTCCATATCAGACCTAACTCCTTAAACAAGTAGGTTAAAGGCCCTATTTCCTTCTCCATGCACTGGAACGACTTGGAACAGATTGCAATAATATTCTCCCTGGTATATGTAATGACTTTGTTTGATCAACCAATCAACCAACATTTATTGAGCATCTTCCCAAGTATACCTCAGTTAGCAGCACAAAATTTCAGTCTTTATCAAGTTTCTAAAGGGGTGGACAGTAAGTCATCAAGTAAGCTGTCATGTGTATAATACAATAGCAAATAATAGGGCTCTGACAAAAAATAGAACAGGCAAAGTGGAGCTAGAAAATAATGGACAATAATTATTTTAGATGAATGGTCAGTATGGCTTCTCTGAGGAATCATTATTTGAACAGAAAGAATCAGGTCTCAAAGAAGTAATAATAGAGGAAATAGAGTGCAGAGACTAAGGTAGGGATAAGCTTTTCAGGTTAAAGTAAGAATAACATCATGATATGTAAATAAAGGGGATATCACAAGAGATGAGAAAGTAAAGGTACGAGCTTAATGCTACAAGTCTTGTAGGCTCACAGTTTGGCTTTCCTTCTGAGCAGATGGAAATCTATGGAAAAGGTGAAAAGATCAACCTGGCTATTGTGTGAAGAATAGACTGCAGAATACCAGGATGAAAAAAGGAGGTCACTGAGGAGGATTTTCTCTTGCCAGGTGAAAGATGATGATAGCTAGAGGAAACTTGTGGTGGGGGAGGGAATGAAAGTTTAAGAGTATGGGTTAGAGAAAAGAAAACCAAAGAATCCTCCCTAGGAGTTTTTCCCAACTTATGAATGGTGGTATCAATTACTGAAGTAGGCATCATTAGGCAAGAAATAAATTGTAGGTAGGGGCAGATACAGAGAGTCAGGTGAGGACAGGTTGAGTCTGATATGCCTAAAATACCTCTTGGTATAGTCAGGTGGATGTATTAAATTAAATTTTAGGATCAAGTCTGGGCTGGTGATAAAAATCATCAGCACTGCATGGTATTTCAAACTTTCCCTGACAATACAAAATTAGGGAAAGAAGGAAAATACTCTGTGGGTATATCCTGGGATGGTCACACATTCAGACCTTAAGGTACATAAGAAAAGAAATCTGAAAAGAATCATACAATGATTCAGGGAGACAGTGGGGAAAATTCTTAAGATTTGCCTGCAGCATGTTCTAGCTGAATTCAAGTCACACTGTTAGTAGAAATAGAGAGACAATTCATTTCTAGGGACCCAGCACAAAAAAATGACATGCAACAGGTCTTTGGTTGCACAAACAAGAAGAATAAAGAGTTTTGAAATAGCACAGCTCAAGGGACAGTTAGAGAAAAGGGAAACAACCTCATGGCATTTACCTTACCACACTTTCCAGAGTTAGGAGAGCATTTAAGCCTGAGAGAAAAGACAGGTAGGCTCAGGGGCCAGTTGGGCTTGTGTCTTAGTTTTCTCTTGTTGCTGAGACAAAATACCTGATACCCAAAATTAAGGAAGGAAAGGTTTATTTAGCTCACAGTCTGTGGAGGTTTCAGTCCGTACTCAGCTGGCTCCAAGTCAGGGTGGCACATGGCAGAGGGCAACTGTTCATGGCGGCTGAAGATAGCAAAAGCAGCAAGAGCAAAATGGGAGGAGCAGTGGCAAGCAGCCTCTTCCCCTCCCTTACATTGTATGCAAAGTACCTGCCCCAGGGCAGGTGCAGCACTCACATCCATCATTCCAACACTTGACCTTGGATCAATCATAAGCTCCAGAAGCCCACCCCATGACTGCATGAGGCTTTGCGGGAAAACACCCAGACACAAACCATCACAACTTGTTTCAGGGCACACACTGTGAAAGGCTGAGCTTCAGTGCTGCCTCAGGTCTAGAAGACCAAGCTAGCAAGAGTACAGTTCTCCTATTTGCGTGCAGAGCTGGGTGATGGCAATATCCAGCTTCCCAAAGACACAAACAGTTAACAGTAGGAACCACAGTAATGTCATACCATCTCTTCAGGACTCAGATTTCCCGTGATATGTGTGATTTCACAGCACAGCAGGGACTCCGACTCTAGAACTCAGTTCCCATCCAGTATATTTTATTTCCATCAGATAACCCAGCCAAACCACCTCCTTCACAAGCATAGCCTCTACAGGAGTCAGACATGATACCACTGACCTGTGTTGAAGAAGGATCCAGTCCATTCTGCCTCAGTTTTAGGAAATACAGAAACTGGTGGGGGTAGACCCAGTGCTGTGCCATCCAGGTCCTTGAAGAGATATTTTCTTGGATTTTCACAATCTGATTCAGAGCAGATCACTCTTTCTAAGTCTTTCCTATGAAGAAAGCAACTCTTTCACATTATGACCTATGAAGAAAGCAACTCTTTCACATCATGACAGGCAGAAAGAAGAAAATATACTGGTAGTGCTGATTTTATAGAAAATAAATTCAACAGAATTTTATTAAGCATGTGTTACCTAAGTGTGAAATAATTATTTCCCAGTTATATGGTCTATAAAAAAGACAATTTTATTAACCAAATACTCTTGATATCTAGATATACAAGTCATATAGATTGCTGATTTTCTAAGGAATAAATAATGATAAAATGTTCTTGATTCCAATATCTGATAAATACAATTTAATATTTTTTATGGAATTCCATGGCTTTGCAGTACTTTAAGACTACCACAATAAATAACAGTTATGTGTGTGCTGTGGACAAAGTAAAAAGAGATATTCTTATTCAACAAATATCTGTTGAAAAACCTGCTACTGACAGGTTGGGAGATGCAGTGGTGATGTTGATTCACACGGTCCCAGCTTTCATAAAATGTAGAGTCAAGTGGGATATATAAACAAGATTATGTAGGTAACAGAGAATTTATTTGATTTATCCTGACCTAATAGTTTTAGGTATCACTAGTAATAATATTAAATATTTTTGTGTGCCAACCACTTATTAGGTATTAATAGTACAAAGAGTCAAACAGTAATATCATGTAACGCTATAGTTTGAATGACAGTGCTCCTCCAAAATAAATGTTAAAACTTAATACCAATGCAAAAGTATTAAGAGGTATGATTTGATTTGGGGAGATGAGAAGGTCCTGAGTGTAGAGTACTCAAAAATGGGATCAGCATCCTTATAAAAGGGTTCGATATTGGGGGAAGTATTCTTTTCCCATATCTCCATTTTACTATGTGAGGATAAAGTGTTTTTTCTCCCCTGAGACTGATGAAGCAGAAACCAAGCCTCTCAAGACACCAATAATGCTAATTCCTTGATCTCCAGATTCCTGAACTATAAGAAATAAATCTCTGGTCTTTACCAATTATCTAATCTGTGGTATTTTGTCAAAGGTCCATAAACTGACTAAGACATGCAGCTTTGCAGCCTACAGGTAAGACAGGAAGACACAGAAAACTGGACAGTGAGAAAGGAAGAAGGAAATTGAGAGAACAATACAGAAGGAATTTCCTTTCCACAGAAGGAAAGTGAGAGAACAATACAAACTGCATATGTATCTGTGTTGAGGTACCTAAAATGGTCCAGGAGTGGGCATCAGAAACAGGCTAGGTTGGGTTGTGTTATAGCAAACACATAAACTTCCTAACTGGGGATGAGGAGGGTCATTAGAGAATTAAAGTAGTTTCTCCAATCTCGTGGGAAAATGTAAGTAACCCATTCTCCCTGCTTCTCATGTCCCCACTCTTTTAAGGAAAAAGATTGCATATGTAGTTTTCATATCCTTAAATAAAGCTCTCAGGTCCTATGTCCAAGAACAGTAGTTACACCTGGTCTGAGTGCCAACATCTATCCATGCCTTGTTGTGTAGCTTCCAAGGTCCTGGCAACAGACACACATTTCTTTCTTTATTCACACTCTGCAGGGGTCCCAGTGCCCCTTCAGACAGCCAGGGACACTGTTCTCCATGACAGAGGAAGAAACAGTGTGGATCCCTTTCCAGTGACTTTGAAAATATCAGCTAAAAGTATAATGAAGAGAAAAGATGTCAGTGGACTCTTATTCTATAACTTCTGCCCTTGTGCTATCCAAAGTCAGTTGGTCCAGTTCAGACTCAACTGGAAGAAAAATAGCCTCTGCTTCTTTGCAAAAGATACTTCAAAAAAATCACATAAAAAGACATTTTTAGTTTTAGTTACTTTTAGTTACTTTTAGTTACTTTTCTTGTTGCTGTGACAAAATACAAGACACTCAAAGTAAAAGGAGGAAAAGTTTATTTCAGCTCACGCTTTGTAGAGGTTTCAGTCTGTGTCCACTAACTCCAAGGTAGGGTGGCATGGCAGAAGGTTATCACAGAGGAGAAACAGTCCATGGTAGGGCAGCCAGGAGATAGCAAAGTACCAAGCAGCAGAAGCAGTAAGTCTGCCTTCTCTTTCCCTTTACTGTCTACTGCATCCAGGCTAAAAGCCTATTGACCAATACGACCCACACCCAACACTATGCTAATTCCAATCAGTGGACTAATTTAGTACCAGACACCCTTAGTCCCAGTATCACATGTTCTAAGTCCAGCCAGCTCTGAAAAGCTCTACCTAAGAGTGCATGAGGCTTTGGGGAGACATCTATATACAAGCCATACAAGCATAAATGTAGGAAGAGTAAATGATTAGGGCCAAGCCATATTAGCATGAATACAGGAAGGGTAAATGCTCAGGGCCATTATACAAGCTCTTACTTTTATTACTTTATTTTTAAAATGTTTAGGAACTTAAAGATATACCAAACGTTTCATAAATACGGCTTTTTATCAATACTAAAAGTGGTACCTTGGGTGCAATGGAGGAAAATAGAACTTGTTCCTATCTCTCATCTTGAGCATCCTGGTCCTCTCTGCTATTATTGGGTGAACCATTCCAGTACTCTCTGAATTTGTCAGGATGCAGATATCCAGGTCATTGCTATAGCAACTTTTCACAAAACTTGAAAAAGTGACATCTGAAATTTTAAAAAATGTATCACTATATTACATCATGTAAACCACCAGTCACAAATTTATACAACTAAATATTCTTATACTGTATGTTCAAGGGTTAGTATGTGTTATCCAGGATAGTACAAGATTTTACATAAATCTTGATATAAAATATCTGTATTTTTCAATACATGGACATTGTATGCAAAAGAAAAGAGAATTTTAACACATTAAAGACTTCAGAGCAACATTTTTCATCAAAGATTTGATCAAAATCCTTTCATTTTACACAATCAACCCATCTTCCAACTCTCAGGTAGACTGGAATGAGGAAGGACTGAGGGGTGAATTTAGTACCATAAAAAGGATCTGATAGCAAATCAACTACACAAAGTGTGGTAAAACTTTGATTGTAGCCCTAGATGCTCAAAAAGCTTCTAGGTAACCTCACATGAGGCACAATTTATGTATCTCACTCTCCTCTCTTGCATAACAGGAAAACTAACACCTACCAAGAGAGCGGTCACATAATCAAGTTAAAGAATTTCTATGAAATCCAAAATGTATAAGGCAATGATATGAGGGAGTCATTCAACGTCATTTGTAGATAAACGACCATTGTGGTTATCAATAACAGCAGGTTGTCAGCTCAAGACTAAGCAGTAAACCACACTGTAACTTTCTGTTGACATAATTTTAGAATGCTTGTAAAAATTCCATGCATAGATATATGAGACCACATTACTTGCATAAACTCACGTATCCTACCTTGAAGTTTAATGGTTCCTGAAACTGAACGACCATTTTTCACTTTGTGAAATGGCTCCCGAGGCCACTGATTTTGCACTGAGGTGAATACAGGCCACAGGATACCAACTCGGCCTCCTTTTGGGTTGGGCGGTGCTCGGTCTGTAGAGGTCAGGTTGGCTGAGTGAGGCTTCCTTCTGTCCAGAATGCAGTCAAAGGAAGAGCTGGTGCCCACAATGACTGAGTTCCTAATCACAATCTGCACAGCTTTGCTTGAGTGCTGGGGAGCAGGTGACACGTACACTGCTGCCAAGAGCCCAACAGAGTTGTCTACCAGAGTGATGTTCTCCAGCTCCACACTGTTCTCTACCTGTACCATGGCACCATAGTCAAAATTCTTGAAAGCCAGGAAGCCAGAGACACTGGTACAATTGTCAGATCCAATCTGCTCATAGAGATGAAGGCCATGAAGGTTTGAGTGGGCCACATTGGCAGACCAAAATACTTCAGAGGAGCACTTGTGTCCCTGAATGTGGAAACCAAGTCTCTCTGATCCTGCCACAACATTGCCGTGGAGGAGGACGCCATCTGCCTGGTTCACTTTGATCCCTGCCACCCAAGTGGTGGACCATGCTGACTGTGTCGTAAGAGCTACAAGGTTATTAGTGAGAGAATGGGCTTCACCCTCCAAATCAATGCCGTGCCCAGCTGTATCAAACACTATATTGTCTTTTAAAATTATTCCGTGGCTGGCAGATGCATGGATGCCCCCACCACAGCTTTGGTGCAGAGTGGAAGACAACATCCAAGATCCCAATGATACATTAGTGAACTCGATGGATGAATACAATGGTGACCCAAAGTTCCAAATTTCCACATTTAGAAACTGAAGAGCACCTACAAATAAAGTGCATGTTGTCAGGTACTTTCTTCTTTACAGAATGCATTAACACAAACTCATCAGTGTATATACCCCTGAAATAGATAATTATATGACTATAAGTGAATTTATATGAATTAATAATACCTAATTCTCATATAATGCTTATTAAATGCTAGGCTTTTCTCTAATCCAGATAGATGATAGATAGATAGGTAGATAGATAGATAGATGATAGATGATAGATAGATAGATAGATAGATGACATTAATTTTCACAAAAATCCTATGACGTATGTAAAGATATTATCCTTATTTTACTGATAGAAAACTGAGGCAGGAAAGAGCTAATTGTCAAGATAGAACTTGGCCTTACATATGAAGGAGAAGCTGTACTACTAACCCCATGCTGCCATACTAGCAAGAGTAGCAGCCTTTGTAGTACAAAGGGAGCAACTCTGCATTGGAATCAAGTAACTGGGCTATAACTATGTGCCAGTATTGGTTGTGTGTCCTCCGCTGAGTAGGTTACAACGTGTGACTTCATTCCTTTCTTTTGTAATAGGTTTTTGAGGTTCTGACAATAATAAGGTGTACAACTACCTCTCAAAAAATAGGGGGTTGTTATGCATCTGAAGCTTAAATTTCAGTTTTAATGACTGTATTTAAAGCTCAGTGGTGATCCAGCCCAAACCCTCTCCTCCTCTACTGCCTTTTCACAAATGAGAAACCAGCACACTCAAAAATGGCAGCCATAAAGAAGCAAATCCTTGTGGGAAAAAAAAGGAAAAGACCATTTGTGTTTCACTATGACCAAACAATGGAGTTTCTACTATCTAAATTTCTCAGTTGACACTGAGGAGTCACTGGTACATGGTGTAGAATATTCACGATGATGAAACATTTTTCAGATATTTGGTAATATCCCTTGCCAATGGCACATACTTGGAATATCTGTTGAACCAGACCTTTGTATAAAACCCTGGCAGAATGGGCAACAAATGTAAGAGTGAATCTATGCACATATAGTTTAATTTCTATTATGAGTAGTATTCATCATCTTATTGAGGTGTCATGTCAATATTATCCTAATGTCTTATAATTGCATAGTTATAATTCATAATTTTAAATTGTTCAAGATCAATTTAATTTCATGCACATTAACCAAAGACCAAAACTAATTGGTAGTAAATACTTAAAAATACCCTAGAGAATTAAATGAAGAACAATGATTTTGTTTGTAAATGCTTTTCTATTTTTCCTTTTGAATTTGCAATTCTGGAAAACCTTCCTTTTGGGTGTTATTGGTAGGAAGGAGGATAATGACGGCCTTTTCAATTTAAAGGTGGGAATTTCCCTGGCCTACTTTTCAGCTCTATAACTAATTCGCCCCTGTGGATGTACCCAGACTGACGCCTGCATTTCCAATCTCATCCGGGCACTGGCACATATCATTTTTTTAAAAAAAAAGCAAGAGTTTTTTTAAAAAGAGTTGAATTGGATTTGAACACTGAGATTTTGGTGAAATGTAAAAATGACTTTAATTAATATTAATGTAACAATGGTTATTTGTTAGATTTCACAAATGTAACAGTCTTGCGTAAGACATTAACAATAGGGGAAACTGGGTGAAAAATATATAGTTTTCCATACTATATAAAAAAATATAGTTTTCCATATTATAAAATTATTGCAAAAGTAAAAGTTTGTGTAACAAAAGTTTCACAGTTAGGCCTGAGCCAGTGACATGATTTCTCTTCCTCTTCATTGATTTTATCCATTCATATTTATTGAGCACCTAATATACGGCAGACATCATGCTACAAAACAGAGATGCAAGACCCAACATTATTCTCAAGGATTTCAGAAGTTAATGAAGGAGTTATACACTGTCTTATAGATTCTGATTCCTATAACAGGAATATAAAATATCTCTCTCACAGAGATAATAAGATTAAATAGGACAAAATTTTTACTGTGTAAAAGCTGGCATAGTTTTGGGTCCTTAAAATGCATTTAATACACAGAGTTTCTTCTTTTTCCCTGGGGAAGATTTAAAGGCCCTAGATTAGCAGCATTAGAGATTTATGATAGGTCAGTCTTGCTGCGGATATAACATTGTCCTCATGTCCAACTGTAGCTAGCCTCTGTCCTGTTCCTGTAACCTATCCCAGCTTGACCTACTAGCTGAGACCTTGTGTTGCTCTCTCTTTCCTTAATCTCCATGGTCATCAACTGCGGGATAGTCTTATTTGTGTAAGATCAGCCACAGCCTTTGTCTTAGTCTTCCACGTAGGATTTTTCCACCTGAACACTACTGACATTGTGAGCCAGATAGCCCTGTCTTATAGGTGGCTGTCTCGTGGATGGTAAGATATTTGTCATCTACCCACTAGATGCCAGAAGCTCTCCCAAGACCTGACAACCAGAAGTGCCTCAAAGCATAGCTGGTTGTCTCCCAGTGGGGAAAATCACCTCTGACAAACATTTATTCAGGTAGAGCTTACGGAGAGAGGCCTTATTTTACAGAACAGAAACCACAACTTACAACTTAAAATCCAAACATTGCCTTTGTCAACCTGGTGAAAGAGATGTGCCAACAAAACGTCCCTTGCTAAATATATCTGAGATGTAGCTGGATCTTTTATCCCAGGCTTCTTGAGCTTTCATGGTATTTGTGTACACAGTCATTTTTTAAGATGGAGTTACAGTGACACCCTTTCCCAAACTATCTGATCAAGAAGCAAATTTGGAATAATGTTGAAGAAACAATACAGCATTCCAAGAGAGCTAAACCTTGGGAAAAAATGATATGATCCTTAAAGCATGCTAGAATATGGAAATCATTTTATTTAAATTCAAGCCATTAATTTATAGCATGATTTAGCATGCTACTGGGAAAGAGCAATAGAAATTTAGAAACGAGGTAAAATTCAAATGGTCATTACATCACCTGTGATTTCGAAGCAGAGGCAACTTTACATGTGCTGAAGATGTTTTCTTTGAGGTAAAAATGTGTATATGTGCTGATCTCAAGTCCACTATTGTAACATCACACTGATAATTAAGCACAGGTTAGAACTAAAAATTCATAGCATCTTGGAACACAAAGGAACCATATTCACTTAAATATTTTGCATTATAAGTAAAAGTTCTCACAGTTGGAATTTCTGAGTGCCCCAGATGCACAGTTCCCGATTGGTAATGCTTAGGAACTTAAATTTTTCTTTACCTGAAAACTCTTCTGTGGGAGACTTCCTGAAGGACCCCACAAGCAGTGTCCCGCTACATGATGTGTCCGACCGGATTTGTATATTCCGGGTCAACAGTCCAACCTCAGCAGCCAAATGAATGCGCCTGCCATCCTCCATGACATGGGGACTTCCTGGGGCAACAGGAGTTGGAGGAAAAGACCTTTAAAAATCTGTCTTGGAAACTGCTAGCTGGGGACCACTACATCTCACAAATGAAAATATTCCTATCCCTTTGGAAGTCCTACCAACACTAAGTTCTGCTTTTCCTCAGGCATTCTCTACAAATGGCAGCTGAGAAATGAAAAATCTGTTCACTTGTCTCTCCTTGGGATCAAAGTGAGTGTTTGAGCAAGAATTCATTTCTTCTCAATAACTGTGGGAGCTGGGACAGGCCACTGCACAGAGCAGTCGGGTCAGAACTGTCCAATTACTGGGGTCCCCAACCTCCATCCTTAAGCCTGTCAGTGTGAGACAGTGGTGTTCAGCTACACAGGTCCATGGGCTCCTTCTTGAGAGTGAGGAATCCCAGCAGAGCCAAAGCAGTGACAGAGTAGAAGCAGCTACGTATTAGAGAGAGAAAAGAAGGAGCAGTGCCAAGCAGCAGCAGCACCGTCGCACAGTGCCTGTGAAATGCTCCACAGCCTGAATTCTGTTCCAGAGCCTGAACAAGAGGACCTTGCTCCTTCTTCATCTCACAGACCCCATTAGTATTTCACATTGGCTTTCACTGGCAAGGACTGATAAGATTTCTCTCTTCACTGCCATATTTTTTTGTTTTATTGTTACTAGAGATTGAACCTACAACTTCATATGCTCGATAAATATTCTAACACCAAGCTACATGCTAAGACCTTTATTAAAAAAAATTTATTTTGAGACAAGATTTTGCTAAGTAAGTTGCCCAAACTGGACTCAAACTTCCTCCTACCTCAGCCTCCACAGTAGCAGGGCTTACAGCAATGTACCCCTGTGCCAAGCTCTGTGCCACATTCTTATAAGTGAAATCAAGCTGGGGATCGTGGCATATGCCAGTAGGCCAGCTACTCAGGAATCTGAGGCAGGAGGCGTACTTGAACCCTGAAGTACAAGGGCAACATCACAAGACTCCATGTCAAAAGAGAAAACAAAACAGGAAGTGTGCAGGCTGTGTAATTCTTGAACTATGATGTACAAAAAACCTTTACACAGTCCTGGTGAACATATGCACACCCCTCTCACACATCACATAAAAAAGTACTCTCTAACCCCTTTACTTACAAGTTTTGTTACAATTAGCTATATCTATTTAGATTTATTTATTGGGCCAGACCAGGAAGATTGTCTTTATTTGGTATTTATGTACAGTAAATATGTATTGAGTATATTATATAAAATATTTATTTGTTTTTTCTAAAAAAGTATTGAAATTCTCATTTCCAGAGATAGTAGCAGTTGTCAACCTAGTAGTGTATTTTTGCAATAATTATCATTTTTCAATAATTACTATGTTCTAAGGGATTATATGCTCCAGTGTGCCAGGAAACTCAGTGTCTGAGTTTTATTCTAGCATTGCCAAAAAATTGTCCAGTGGCCTTGAGTGAAATTTTCAAGCCTTCTCCTCTTATATTTTCCATAATGAATTTTTAAATTCTTCATATCTATGTATTATTTAAAAACTAGGCAATAAGATTAACAAAAGAATTAAAGACATCATGTTTCAGTGATACATACAGTGCACCCACACTTACAGCAGCACAACTCCTGACTGTTAAACCTTGAAAGCTGGTTATATGCCTACCAATACACAAATGCATGCAGAAAATATGGTGTATGTACACAATGGAGTATTACTCACCCATAAAGAAGGATATGCATCCTTTTGTAAGAAAGTGGATTCACTTTGAGACCAAATGCTGAGTGAAAGTTAACCACACAGAATGATAAACACTGTATGATTTCTCTTGTATGAGGAAACCCAAAGTATAGGTAATTTAAAGAGCAAAATAAAAGAAATAGGAAAGACAGTCTTCATGGAAATGGGAAGAAAGGGGAAATAGGACAGAAGAAAGTGAGAGGAAAGAAAGAGTAAGGGGGTAAAAAGAGTGAAGATGTATATAAGCTAATTCCCAGTGACAAATGTACCGAATGCATATCACAAACATATACTAATCAAATATTTTTCAATTAATGAAGAAACATGAGACAAACCCAGTAGCCAGGGCTTCAGTAAAGTGTGCCCTTTCCCTTGCAGGGCAATAGGAGGCCAGATCTCTAGGCAGGTTCTGAAACCAGTACTCACAGAGCACTCACTTCTTTTAACCAGCAGACCCAGCAACCCCAAAGTCTTACCGATGTGCCGGTGTTGGAGACGTCCATGGACCCTAATGTGGTGGCCCTTCACCTCCTTCACATTGAGGACCTCTGCTTCATGTGGTTCATAGGAAGAGGAAGTAAGGACAATTCTGTCAGGGGATTTCCAATCCACTGCATCTCCGACTATAATTCTGCAACAGGTGAAAAGACGATTATATGTACAGACAGTGCAGCACAGATCACCAACTAACTCCAGAAAGAGAAAAAGAAACCCAGTGCAACCAACAGTGCCACCGAGGAAGCTGAGAAAAAAGTAAGAAAAGACAGAGAAAACAGCTTTTGCAAACAGAAAGGTAATACTGACGGCATCCATTTTCTGGCTCAGAAATGTATACATTGCAGGGTTCATAAAGATATTCCGTTAGTCAGGAAGCATAAGGCAATGGAATCAGAAACAGAGGAAGTTCTAGAGTTCAGTGTATGCACCCTCACATGGTTTTCTATAATAGCAATCTTCCTTCTTCGCGGGGAAAAATTTTGAATGAGAAAGGTATTTCCAAAGAGAACATTTCTCATGTTTTCTGAAGACTTAATATTGCCATTTCTGGACAACTTGTCATTACACATTAAGCTTAAACTCTTTGCAGTTCGACTGATCCAAGCGTGAGTCTTGAACCTGCCAGTTACTAGAAGCCACTTAACATTTCTCAGCTTTATATCCTCACCTGAAAAGTACAGTACTGATTATGTGCTCCCTCTAACCTCCCAACCTGATTGTGTGGGCTAAAGGCGATGTGCTCCTCGAGTGTGCTCTCTTTCCAGTGTTGTGCTTTCATCACATTATGAAATGTGGGTTTTATACATTTTTTAAATTTTCACATTTAATAAATATTCTGTTCAGTCTATCACTGTTGCCTTGAATATGCTGGCTTTATTCTCCATTCACAGCCATACCCAACTTCAATAGTATAAGTTTATTTTAATTTACTTTCTCTTTAGCTAATGTCTGAATCTTAGCAAGTTTTGACAACAGAATCTTTCCTCCCAATAAATGCTCATCCAAACAGCAGGGCCATTTGCAAAACATTCCAACACACAAGGTATATCGACAGGACCACTGGTGAAAGCCAGGCACTACAATAATTCCTACAGACACACTAGTAAATACAATATATGTCATTTGTATTAAATTCATAAGGTAGATTTTTTTCTAGGATACATTCTTAAAAAGTCTACCATATGTGTGGAGAACTAGGTAGTCATATGCAGGACAATAGTATGAATCTGTTATGAAGTAAAGATTGTAATTAATTTGAATCTATGTACCTAACATTAGAGAGATAAAGAAAGATAAAATACTATAAATTGATGTAATTTTAAAGAAAGAATGTCTCTGTTCCTGATTGCTGTGACTTCCTAAAAAGCTCAGGTAGAGAATACAGTAATACCTTGGTTCACAAATGCCCTGTTCATGAACAATTCGACTTGCAAAAAGAAGTATTCAGCAAAATGTTGCTTCTTTTCATTAACTCCTCATGAGGTAAGGCCCATGACTGCAGCCACAGTCCCTACACAAACACAAACATGACCACCTTCCCCAGAATTGGGGAATGAATTAAGTTTGTGGACCGAGGTAGCACTGTATTAAAACAAATGCTAAATTTTGAAGGAAAACAAATTATTTTACAAAGAGATTAGATAGTAAAACTCAAAATGACATAACTGAATGGAGTCCCAGGTTAAGCTGGGACAAAGAAAGACTCTATATCAAGTCCAATTTTCTTTAGTTATATGAGGAATGCTATTGATATTTTGATTGGGATTGCATTAAAACTGTATACTAGTTTTGGAGGTGTGGCCCTTTGACAATATTGGTTTTGCCTCTTTAGGAACATGTAAAGTCTTTCCATGTTCTGATATCTTCTTGATCTCCTCTTTGAGAGTTCTGTAGTTTTTGTTGCACAGGTCTTTCATCTCCTTGGTTAGTTTAATTCATAAGTATTTAACTTTCCTTGATGTTCTTGTGAATGGTATTGTCTTCCTAATTTCTTTCTCAATGAGTTCATTTTGATGCACAGGAATGCTACTGATTTTTGTGTATTGATTTTGTATCCTGCTATGCTACTGAATTTTGTCTCTAATGCTTAGAGTCTTTTGGTGGGATTGGTCATCTATGTAGAAGATCAGGTCATCTGCAAATGATGATAATTTGACTTTTTCCCTTCATATACATATACCTTTCTATTTGTCTTGCCTGAATGCTCTGGCACATGTCTTGAGAACCATATTGAATAGGAGTGGTGATAGTGGATATCCTTGCCTTGTTCCTAATTTTATGTGGAAAGCTTTCACTTTTTTCCCCATTTAATATGATGTTGGAAATTGGTTTGCTATCAATGGCTTTTGTCATAGTGAGATAAGGTCCTCCTATATCTATTCTGTTAGGGTTTTTATCATGAATGCCGTTCAATGGTTTCTTCTGGGTCTTTTGAGATGATCAAATGATTTTGTCTGTTTCTGTTTATGTGAAATGTTACATTTATTGATTTATGTATGTTGAAACATTACTGCATCCCTCGGATGAAACTTACTTGGTGTGGATGTATGAACTTTTGGATGACTTGTTGCACTGTTTACCAGGATTTTTGAGTAAATATCTATTA